CAGTTCGAGTCGCCTTTGGCTTTAACCCCGTGCCAGGTAGACTTGCACTTCTGATTGCCGGGGTCCAGAACCTCAAAGACATCGAACTCGCCGCAGCCGGAACTCCAGCAGGAGCAACTTCCGTACTGAATTGTGCGAGGAATTTGAGCGTTCAAGATCCATGCTGCGGGCATGTCGCCATTGAACCCAGTGTTGCCGGACAGGGGCATACTGAATTCAAGCAGAAAGAGCTTGGAAGGACCATCGAAGCCATCTGTCAACCTTGTTAGATGAAGGCCCCTGAACAAGAATGGGCGGACCGAACTTACGGTAGGCAACGGTTCCATCCCGGACTGTCCCACAGGAGCCATCCGAGCATGGACGGTCGGTCATGATGACGTATTCGCTGTTATCTGGGACCAAAACGTCTGCCAGTGGGACTGGAGACGAAACACCCGCACTGTTGTCTGCTGAGGCATAGGATAGCGACAATCCCCAAACGCTATCAAGTTATCAGCAAGGTGAGACTCCGCATAGAGGTTGTGCGAGAACTCACGTGTCGAATACACCTGAACCCTGTCCGCCGTGGTGGTTCAAGAAGACAAGTCCATCCGCAATGCCTTGTTCCGCAGCATAATAGGCCTGCCGTCCCCACTGGCCCGAGCCTGCATTCATACTTGCTTTGGGAGGAGCGGGAGGGTGTGCAGGACTTCCTGATCCAGGTGCAGGTGTTGCAGCTGCTGCTCCGGCGCCGCCCCCTGCGTACTGATTCTTCCATGACACGACGTCTCCATTGATAGTGGCCGTGATCCAGTCTCCGACACCACGCTTGTCCTCCACATGCCCTGCACCACCGAATTCATTGGCCCCATGACCCTTTTGATTATGTAGATGTCTGTGCAAGTGTGACCGTTGTTGAGGGTTGGGTTCCAGCGATCGCTTTGTGTTGTCGGAGCCAGGAGTGTAGAATGCGAATTGTTTCAAATGAATCGGCCCACGGAAGTGCCATGATATCTACCAAGTAACCGGATGTAAGTTGAAATCGCACCTCTCAATCAGAATAATTTAGATTGTGCCTTACCTCTCCGTCCATGGGCGCCATCCCCCCTTGATAGCTCTGTGCTGCGAAATCACACGCCCCATTCGCTCCCATGTTCGACACCCTCTGGTACTGGCCCGCGGTGCCGAAATTCGAGTATGAGATGGCCTGAACCGGATCGCAGTACCAATTACCCTTTTCCTCATAGCAATTATTGTTTTGAGCGAGAGCCACGCTCGCAGCCGCGACGAGCAGGGTACCGACCCTACCACCGCACTTCATCTTCGACACCGCTTTGTTTTTTTTTACTTCTTCACAAAAAGATAGGGGACTCGCCGGCTTCTCTTAAGATATACTGAGTACCGTGTCTTGCGCGGCGGGTGCTTGGAAAAATGTGGGCCTTGTTTCAATATGGTTGATAGTCTTTTTCTGTCGCGCACAAGCTTCCGAAACGTTGCTGTCGTGTCACCTTTGAAGCACGGGAATAGGGAGAAGGGAGATCAAAAAAGGGGGGAGAGGTTAACTTTCTTTATTGAAAGCGTACGAGGTACAAAAGAAAAAAAAAGGACAGTTTCTTTGAAATGGCAGTACTTCTTCATACTAGAGTGACGTGCAAACGGTGCCCTCACCTTGTGATCCACTTACTGTTTGCAGCGAGACGCAGAGACATCTTTGCTTGCGTCCACTGGGGTTGTGAAATGCGAGGGCTGGTCAAGCTCTTGGCGATAGCGAGCACAAATCACAGGGTTGGCGTTGGTCAGGGTGACGGACGCTGTGTGCATGAATGATGAGAGAGAGAGTGTGTGTGTGGAAGCACTCCAAGTGACTCTGGAGCTTGGAATACCTACAGGAGTATGTGAGTGGCAGGGGGTGAAGAAAAGGGAAAAAAAGGGAAAAGGTGAGGCAGCGCAACCCAAACCAAGAAAGTCCAAGACCCCATGGAGTAAAAGTGACCCACCAACCACATATTCAAGGGGCCAGACAAGGAACAAATCCGAACGCGATTGACCAAAAGGGCTTAAAGGCCATTGGACGGCGATCATGGCGCCGCCGGAAACGAAACAACGGGACAAAGGCCAAGGACAAGTCAAGACGGAAACATCCAGACCACACGACCTCCCAAGGACCTCCCAAGCACGTCCGGCTGGAATACTTGTATATACGGTTTGATTGCTCCAAGACTCGATTTCTCGTCGCATTCCACAGAGCCGCGTGGACTCAATCTGTCTGTGCTCAGTGATCAGTGCCGCTCACATTCCATTCCAGTCTTGTGCCTGAAGTCTGGACACTCGGCGCTGGCCTGATGCGAATAAAGAGTCGATCCCATGGACTATTTCAGGCGGGGAACTCCCAGTCTTGACATGGCACTGAGAGCGATGGTCATCATGGTCATTTGACATTGGGGTATCATTCATGCTCATCGTGCTGACGACGGCTAGCACTGCAGGCGCATATTGCGCTCGTTCTCTATCAACCCACAAACAGCCTCCAACGCCAATTTCCCAGCCTCTTGCTGGGCCAAGTATGCCCCCCCAGCTCCATGCAGATGCCCGTCATTGTTGGTTCGTGATTCGTGTGCGTGACGCCGCCCTTCCTACTCCTTTTCTCGGTTCTTGAGTTTTGTCCACCCACTCTTGCCCTTACCCCGGACCCCCTCCTCCTCTCCACCAGGTGTCATGATGCTTCTCGCATCATCGTACTCCTTCCCGTCCATTGGTCTCGTCTTGATGAAGACGGCTTCGTCCATCTTCTCTCCCCCATCATTCCATTCCTGCTGATCTAGCAGTTCCCATTCGGCATTGTTCATCTCGGCCACCAGATGCTTCTTCAAAGGGTCAGAGATCTTAGAATATCGGTTTAGGTGCCAGTGGCGGGACGGATTATCTCCGGCTGCAGCGGCAGAGCCAAGGAAAGTGTGGGCAGAGTTGTGCGAATTCGAGCCAAGACGTGCTGGGAACGCGTTGGCCTTATCATCAATGACTGGCGACGACGTGCTCTGAGATCTGTGGTGACGATTGCGAGCGTTGCGTTGGGTGAGGACTCGGGTCACTGCAGTGGATTGCGCAGGGGCTAAAATCATCTGGAACAAATTGCGACCAATGTCACAGGCATCCTCCCACGTTTCGGTGCCTGCAACGAAACCTTGAGTGCGAGAAAGCCACGCAACATCCCAAGCCAGGAGAGAGACGCCTTCAATGAAGTAGCTGAACGCAAGGGGTTCCTTCTTGGCAAACTGAGCGACAGATTCGTTGTGATCGTCAGAGCCAATGTACAGTGGACGGGGCTTGGGAGACGAGCTGAGATCCATTCTGGAAGCGGTAGGACTGCCGGGTGCAGAAAGACTCGATCCACTGCCAGGGAAGGTGATGCGTTGTCCAAGGTACGAGGTAAGCGGGGGGTTGATGGTTGCAAGTGGGTAATCCCGGTGAGGCAGGGTGATTTCAGCAGGGAGTCGGATACCCAGGTAAAAAGAGCAGAGGAAGATGAGCCGAGTGACGTTAGCCAGGGCAGCGGTGAGTTCAGTGCATCGCATGTCTGTATGATCAGTTAGTTGGGGAACTGGGGGACGCGTGTCGGTGGTCTTACTATTGATCTCCTTCAAATCTGGCAATAAGAGACCAGCAATAGAGTGGCGATCCTTGATAGTACCGTTTTTGATCTTCTTCCTCGAGTGATGGAGCCTCAACAGACCGGCAGCTTCTCGACAAAGAATGGCACGAGTATCGACTGTCTTCTCATGAAGCGCGTCGTATTGTGCCTTCAGCTTCTCACCATTTTCTTTGAGCTCCTCCATTCTCTTCTTGTAGTTCCTAGCCTGGGCTTGTTTCGCTGCAGCGAGGTTGGCTCTCCGCTCCTCTAGGTTCTTCTTCAGAGCCTGTGCATGCTCTTTCTTTTCTTGTAATTCCTTCTGCCTGACAACGAGTTCGCGTTGCATATCTTCTTCTTGTTCCTTGGCCCGCTGTTCTTCAATTCTTTCCTGCTGTCTCTGCCAGGCCTTTCTCAATCTGGCAGTTTCTTCATCGAGGGGTTGTTCAGGCTCAGGACCAACGATAGCTTCCACCTTCTTTCCAAGGGACTCTTTCTCGAGCAGAACTCGCGCGAGGTCGAAGCGACAATTGTAGAGCAGGTTGTTCACACAATTTGCGCAGTTGACGCTCGTGTTTTCGGCCAGGTGTTTGTGACAGACTGGACAATCCATCTTGACGGTTTCTACGTTGATGTACGTAGAGTCGGTAGAAGAGCCAGTAGAAGTCAGGGGGATCTCGATCTCATGTTCAGTGGTCTCGTCGTCTTTAACCTCCGCATCCAGCGATTTCGGCGGTGGCGCGGTTTCACTGGCAAGAAATCTGTAACCATGATGTTAGAATGAGGCCTGTCTTGTGTGCAGTGTGCATCGAGCACGATTATAGCAACGGCGCTGGCATTGTCACCAGGGCGACATCAAATCGTCAAAGAGAGGCACGGGAACTGGAATAGGCACGACTTACCTGTCGCGAAGCGATCTGAGGCTTAGGCTAGGCCTAGACCGTCTGGGCTGCGACATGACGTAGATGTGGAAGACAAGACAGTGCACGTGATTTGGTGAAATACGCTAATGTAAAAGCGGTTAAGCGTCTGTGCACGCGTTGTGCCGATGTTTAACCGAAGATGGTCCAGGCGAGAAGGCTGTGAGGTCCTTCAAGCGTCGAATTTTCATCTCTCAAAGTCTACCAGCAGTCTCGCCAAGATGGACGCACCGAATAGCATTGATGCTGATATTATAACTTTTCCGACTGCGAACGAGGGGAAGCAAACACCTCCTCCTCAATTGAATACAGACGCGACAACTGTAATCCATTCCTCACCACTACCGGACAGATCCAAGTCCAGACAAGGCAGTCGGGCTCGAAAACGTACAAACGAGGAGATCTATCAGCCACCTGAAATTGCGAAGTCGAGTCCTACAAGTACAAGGATCCAGAGAACTGCAACTCTCCCAACAATGCCCGAGGCTGAAGCATCCCATGCTTGGACCAAGACTTTCGAGCATCAAGGCCCGCCTCAAACCAGTGAGAACACCTCGTTTCAGCCAACCGGTAGAGAGATTGTTGCAGTTCCTGCTCCGTTACCCCAACGCAATGGTTTTGTCAAAGAGATCTACGACTATCAACAGCAACTAGAGCTCGAATTCCGAGAGTTCGAGCGAGCGATGAACGAGAGAGACATCTCTATAGACTTGGATGCAATCGATTGGAACGAACTTGAAGCGCGGTATAATAGGGAGATTCAGCCTTGCCTTGCAGCTGAGAGGGAGATTATGGAAGAGTTCAATGCCCGCTCCGCGGTAGGTAGCTATCTTCACGAGCAGGCAAAAGGAGGCTAATTAGTTGCAGCAATTCTCGCTCTATATGCAAGTATCAAACGAACATGAATCTGAGAGGGCCATCAAGAGGTATGTAAACGCTCTGTTACTGGTGGCAAGCAATCTGACATCCATGCAGACTTCGCACACGGATCGCTCTTGCTCAAAATTCGGAGAAGTTATTAGCCGAGAAACAAGCCCACCGTGAGTAACAAGGACTTGTTGCACAGTACTTCGCTCACCTTTTCTTCAGACACAAAGGTTCTTGAGGCGTTTCAGAGTGCTATGGCGCTCTTAGGCAGCCTTTGAGAGCGTTGCGAACCGTGCTGTGAAACGGGGAACTCGACTACGTCATGCGGTACTGACCATTGGCGCAAAACGTGATTGTCCACACTTGTGACCAGGACTCCTGATCGTCTTGTGGCTTGATGGTTGCTACCAAGATGAGCATTGTATGCCCGTGATGTCTGATGAGTCAAAGTCAAATGCAGACAGAGATCTTCTCGCGCGGCTAAATGCACTGAAAACGTCGACGGTGTCTTTTGAGCAGACAAAGTAAATGAATGACTCTTCTCAACCCTTGGACATTGAGCTGATGCCTTTTAGTTTTCAGACACCTCTCGGGAGAGCGCTTCCTGTTTCGCTTGATCCTACCCCGGCTCGTGCCCTCCACTCAGACCTTTTGACAAGATGGAAATCTCTCGGAGGCAGTCCTTCTTCGGCTCTCCAAGACCCCGCTACTTCGACCCCAAAGTCTGAGGACGAGAAAACAGTGGAGGAACTCCTGGCAGATTTAGGGCCTTCAGATGCGTGGGAAGTCGGACAGAGTGAAGAGGAACAGGTCGCAGATCTGCTGCGGACTGCAAAGTCAGCGCTGGCAGATGCGTCACACACAAAAAGCGAAGGATTAGGCGCAGACCAAGCTGAAGGCACAACAGAAGCAGAGGACAACATATCTACAAAGCTCCCGCCGATTGATGTTTCGGTGTTTCAACCCGGGCCCGAAACAGAAGAGAGCCCAGTCACCGCGGTAGGCAACAACAAGTCGAAAGACACTTTGGACCGGGAGGCAGATGAACTGTTGGCAAGGATCCTAGACGAGGCCAGGCTTGAATCTGCAGAGACACAGGACCAAAACACGAGTCTCCCAGAGGAGGACGCTGAAGAGAATACCTCCCCGAGAGATATAGAGCATGCGAATCCTAGATCTGAGCGGGACGCGTCTTCTTTTGACCTCCCCACCACCCCTTCGAAACTGCCAGAACCCTCAGCCCCAACCAAGCCGTCAAATGAAGACGACGACGACGACCTCGCCTCTCGCTTTGCCGGCCTATCCCTCCCGGCAGTCCCGACGGGCATAAAATCCACCAAGGCAACCTCGTCCGCGCCAAAGCCCAAGATCGGCTTCACTGACGAGGAGATCGACACCTGGTGCATCATCTGCAACGACGATGCCACGCTGCAGTGCATCGGCTGCGACGGGGACCTCTACTGCACGAACTGTTGGGTGGAGGGTCACAGGGGCGAAAGCGCCGGGTTCGAGGAACGCAGCCACAAGGCAATCCAATATGTCAAGGGGGGCGGGAAGAAAAAAGCGCCCAAGAGGAGAGTCATGATGGGTGCTTGACACACATACACAAACCACACACTTTCTCACCAATGGTGGTGGCGGTGGTCAGTCGCCGATTGATGACCCGGTTTTGCCATTATTAACTATAATTTATTTAATCCTCAAGATGGTGCGAAATCCCCAGAACGAAGCCCTTCCGAAGAGACAAGTTTTTTCCTACACGCTCTCCTTTCCATCCTCTTGTGCCTGCGGCTCAGTTTTGTGGGTGGTTCTGCCGATCTTGTGTGCGTGCGCCCTGTTCGGCTCGCCAGGCGGAACGATGAAATACATGATGCCATGGAAAACACTGGCCACCAGAGGTGCCACCCAGTGCACCCAGTGCCAGCCGGGAAAATGGCTGCCCACGTAGACACCGAAACACCTTGCCGGGTTCAGGCTCGCACCACCGTACGCCGGCAGACTGAATGCTGTGCATAACGCCAGACTGCCCACGGCCAAGCCGACAAAGATCGGTCCGAGGGCAGGGCCAAAGATCTCGCGCTGGCGGGGATCCAGACCGACCCCGAACGCGAGGATGAGCAAGAGCAGGTCGCTGATGACTTCAATGGTGAATGCGCTCGAGACAGGAGTTCCCATGCCTTCGAAGAGATAGCACCCTCCAACCTTGAATTCTCTGGTATTCGCTGCCGCCCTCAACAGCAGGCCCGCAAGAGCACTGGCTGAGATCTGCGCCACCAGGTACAACACCAAACGGGGAAAAGTGGTTAACCTCGCGAAAAAAGTCCCAATGGTGATTAATGGATTCATATGGCCTCCGGACACGGCACCGAAGGAGAAGATCAGTAGCGCGAGGAGGATTATGTTGATTGGCGCTGCGATCAGGGGGCCCAGGAAATACGAACGGCTGAAGGGACCGGATGTCTCTGACGGTAGCGGCGGAGGGGTGTTTGGGGAGAGACTGTTCCAAGCTGAGGCCCAGACGAAGATCATGGTGCCTAAAGACAAGTTATCGTCAGCATCATTCGATTACTAGACAACATGTTCCACCCTGCGCACGTCTCCCGATTCAATGACCCACACATCTCGCCAGCAACCACCAGAGGGAATGGCTCACCGACAAACTCGACCATGGAGGCCTTCCACAGCTCCACCTCCCGAAACCCTCGAAGATCGAAACTTTCCTTCAAGGTCAAATTGGGTGCGGCATCAGGCACTTTTTTTAGCAACTCCTCGTTCTGGGGGTCGGAGCGGTCGAGGGTGAATTCTAGGTTGCCGCCCAAACGACCGGCGAAGGGGGCGCTCAGAGAGCCGCCCCGGCGCCTGCGAGCTGCGAGCGAGTTCGAGTTGAACGTCTGCCTCGTGGCGGTGGTGGACATTTCGTAGGCGGTCGTCGCGGGGAAGTGGTCGGGGACGGTGAGACAGGGGCGGAAGGTGGGAGAGAGGGGAGGTGTGGGAGCCTTGGACTGCTGTTCCTCCGTGGTGGGCTGTGCGTGTTGCTGTAGCGGTGCGTGATTCGGACCAGTCATGGACGCTGATGCTGTTTCGGAACCAGCTGGCCTTCAAGAGACAAGACTGCGGATGTCTGAAAGGCAGCGATACACCGCCACGACAGCGCCGGAATTGGTTGAGGTATACGGCTGGCTCGCTCGTCGATCAATCGACGACTGGTTCTCTGGCCTCCTTTAATCCCAGCGTAATTGTTTCGCTTGACAAAACACCAGGCTGGTCAACAGCATCAACGAAATCTCTCCTCCACTCCCACTTCTTTTGGCGAAATCACCCTCTCTTCAGCTCTCCCTCCTGTTTTCTCTTGTCGCGGCCCTTTTCTTCTCCGATCCTTCTCCTCTTTCTTCCTTCCTTTGCCTTCCAATAATGAGTATTCCGGAGAATCAGGATCCGACTTTCAAGTCGATGAATTGATTGTGGGAATACCTGGGTATCGGGTATGCCGTAACGGTAACGGCAACGGTATTAGGTAGTGATCAATGGCAATGATTTCTCAAAACATTCCCTTCCACCGCTCCCGGGTTGTGGTGTTTTACAACAGGCGACAGACAGACAAACAGACGGACGGACAGAGGGCGGGAGATAAAGCCCCCAACTTCAATCAACGCCAGGCAAAACAAAAGATAGGCCAAAGAACCCGTCTGAAATCTTTATTCAAAATGGCCAGTGTCAATCTCAATCTTGTCGTGTCGGGTTCAATGGGCGCGAAGGGGATGGGCGGCGGAAAGAAAGAAAAGACAAGCAACTTTTTGATGGATGAAAAGAAAACTCCAATGGCTCAGTACGGTGGAAGTGTGTATTATGTACGGAGGCACCTCGTAGTTACTCGATGGTAGGTAGGCGTGGTAGGTTAACAGGTAGGTACGTAAGGTCAGGAACCGTGGTATGAATAATCAGTACGGCGTGTGCGCAGTGGCCCCGTTTCCCTGTTCGGGCGAGGTACACATAAACATACGGGCCTATGCAGGGATGTGATGTGCTGTAGCATGCATGGCTGTGCTACTCCGTAGGTACAGTGGTGGAGCACCGTGTATTACGACTTCTCGAGAACGCCTCGGGGATGATCATGTATCGAGTTGGCAGGTCACGATATGTATGGGCTTTTGTGGCGCTGCTTGGGGGAAACCCGATGTGCATCGCCGGCTTTGGTGGCACCCAGGTGGCTCTGGCGGTGCTGATGACAAAGCGATGACAGGGTGAACATCAAGATGCATACAAGAAATGTCGCATGCAACCACATGCAGAACATGCTGGATAGCAATGGCACCGCTAACTAGGCAGCCTTCAATCTCACTGTACATGTCGGCGGCAAGAACCTGATGTCGCCGCAAAAATCGTCATTACACTTTCCGCCTCACAACCCAGGCTCTGCAGGTCTTATGATGGACTCGTTCAAAGCCATTATTCCTCAACATCTCGAGCCATCCTCACTCATCCTCTCCATCATGTCTTCGTTCCACATGGTCGTCGTCTGGGTTCAATAGGACTCCAATATCGGTACTCTCATCCAGCACCCTCCTCCCTTCCTTGGCTGTTGGCAATTTCATGTCTTCCATGACGAGCTGCAAGGTCAACTCGGGTACCAACACAGCGCTCACATATGCGCCCACGCCCGCTGTTCGCAGCGCTGGGTCCGACTGTAATGCCTTGTTGAGAAACTTTGAGAGTGACTCGGTAATTGCGTGGACCATGATTCGGGCTCCTTTGGGACCATAGTAACCCGGCTTAGCAACATCAATCAAGCCTTCATTGAGATAATGCCGAATAGTCCTGCGGTTGCCCTTGGCCGCCTTGATTTTCGCGTCCAGCTCATCCAGGTAGTAACTGTATCTCTGTCGGTTTATCACCCGCTCCAGCTCCTGCGTTTTCTTCGGTATCCGGAAGCTTTCCAACTTCTCCCAATCCAACTTGGGATAGCCTCTTTCTTCCCATTGCCCTCGTGCTTCCGCAAGTCGATGCTGAGAACAAAACTTTTGTTGTTGTTGGAAAGGCATAGTGCGGAGATTGTCCGGAACAAACACCGAGATCGTGTCTCGCACGGGTTTTTGACAAACGGGACATCGTACTCCAACTGTTCTTGGTTCAGGCTCCAACTTGAACTCGTCATCGTGCACGAGCAGAAACATGTCATCCACAGAAGAGAGAGAGGACGTCGACCCCGACCTTGCACGGCCTGCAGCGCGGGGCGAGTCCACGTCAAAAGAAACAAGGTTGTCAGTGCCGCCGGACGATGAAAAGTCGGGCATTTCTGGGATGTGAATATCCGCTTTGTGATGATCCGATATTTCAGCTGGAAGACTAGGGACGTCGATTTTCTGTCGTTGCTTGATCTTTCCCTTGACCCCGTCCAGCACCGGCACTTCAGCAACGTGTATGAATGTGGTTTTCGATGCCTTCTCTTCACGCCCTTCCACTTCAGCATAAGATACAAAACCAGTACCTTTTGGCTCCGCCTGTGCGACGCTCTCGATGGGCTCTAGCTTCTGGAAAAACTTGCGGTTCGCATAGTTCTTAGAGGGCTTTCTCTTCTGCGAACCCGACGAGGTCCAGCCGGGGAATGGGTCGTCGAGGGTCGAATCTTCAAGGGTCTTCAGCGGCTCAAGCGCAGGTTCGTCTTTGAGCTTCCGCCGCTTCGGTCTGGTTGAGGCAGCTGTGCTCGCCGTACGTTTGGTGGGAGGACTGGAGGGTTTCAGAGTCTTGCCTTTGCGCACTCTGGGTGAGCTCTGCGCCGGCTTGCGGCGTGAGTCGTCGTCCTCATCTGAGCTGGAATCGGGTGGCGCGTAAATGAGTCTCTCATCTTCCAGGGAGTCCGTCTTCATGTTTGGACTAAGAGATTGTTCATGAGACTCTGCCCCTCGGATAGATCGAAGCAGTGTTGGGCCGCGGTAGTTCTCTCGTGTGAGATATGTTCTCGAGTAACTGGCATTAGGTCTGGTCATATCATCATCACCAGATCGGGCCAGTCGTAGAGTGAGAGAGGTGATGTGAACGTGAATATGTAATTGGTACTCGTAGTTGTCAGAATTTAGAAATGAGCCCATTGATAGGGAACTAAGTGGAGGGCTGGAGGTGGCAGAGTGGTCGCACGCGCCTATTATGGGCAACCAGTAGTAACTGAAGATGACTCGTAGTCACTACTAGTAGGAGACGAGGGGCTCCCAGTGGTTGCCAGTGGCTCCCAATCGCAATCGTCAGTTCTAATGATAATGGGCGCCCCCCTGCTGTAAGCTGGGCACTTTGCGGGACAGACAAGCTAGATTTAGGGTTCGGAGCCCAGGTTTTTCCGGGCGGTGGACCGCAGCTTAACTGGGCTATTTGTGTGCTTGGTGACACTTGGACCCTCCAATTTCGCCGTGGCAAACGCAGTTTCACACTTAATCCGTTACTCCAGATGGACCGATTCAGCTAATGCAGCTGACAAACAACGTCTCTTCCCTATATTCGCTGAGCTCATCATAGCAAAAGGTGCATGGCCAAGAAGGGATGAGACTTGGCTGTGGCAACTCGAAATAGTATGAATTGAGACGAGTGCACCAAAGGGCACGCGCCCTCTTCTCCCTCCTCCACCTCCCCTCGATCGGCCAGGGAAACGACACAATGGGCCTCCTGGACGAGGACCCCGTCGACAGTCTGGGTGAGAAGTCAACAGCAATCACCTCGCCTACCGCGATGTCCCCAGGGGCACAGAGTCCATCAGGCATCCAGAGTCCCCCGCCTGAACAACAGCAGCATCAGCATCAGCATCAGCACCCGCATATCGACCATGCCAAAGAGAAGCTACGCCATTTCATTCATCCTGATGGCCGGAAAATCCACATTGCTCACACACCCGAAGAGCACGCCAAACTGCACAAAGAGCTGAGCCAGCAGCATGGCCCCGACGAATTCGATGTCGTGATCTCCGGCACCCCAGAACATCTCGCCGTCGTACGCGAGCTGCACGCCCATCACTCGGCTCAACGCGACACGCTGCGGGAGAGACATGGCGACATCTTCTACGAGTTCGAGAAGGTCAGAGACGACCTGGATCATCTGTCCAACGAACTCAATCAATTGACCCATCACGGAGTGTGTGAAACTGTCGTCAAAGTGGTGGACGGACCTGTTGCTAATCCATAGAGTAGGTGGCCCTTGACGCCAACTTCAGCAAGTTCGGCTACACAGCGCGCATCCGTACCAAGGACGACCACAGTGGCTCATCGACACCGTCACATTCAACAACAACAGCCAACTCAGAGCAAATTTTACTCGACAAACATCAGAGCCGCGTTGTCGAAGGTACGAAATTCTTCAAACGGCCCGTCATCCGCCAGTACTTCCACAAGGGACTGTTGTGGCGGTCTGCGCGCAGCGGTGAGGTCGGCACCTTCGAACTGTTCGCCGACTTGCTTTACGTCGGCATTATTGGCATCATTGGGGACAAGGCCTCTGAGGATCCTACGGGGAAGTCGTTCTTGGTGTATGCTATCAACTTCACTATGGCCTTCAAGATCTGGAATGATTTAACCCTCGTCTCGAACTGGTCAGTCGGGGCCCACCCATGAGAACTGGATGATTGTTTGGTTTTACAAACTAACGGTCGTTTAGGTTCGAGCGAGACGACATCGTCCAGAAGCTTTCTGTCATGCTCTACCTGATCCTCCTCTTCGCCTACACCACCAACATCTCGTACGCGTTTGAGGAAAGGCATCCCGGCGGAGAGTTCGACACATATATTCCCATGATGTCCTTCTATCTCGCTGAGAGGTTCTATGGTGCCTTATATTTTACCTGGCTCTCTTACGTGGTGCCCCTGGTGAGGGGAACCCTCCTGTACACGTCCATCATCATCCTTTTGGCCATTGTGTTTTGGATCAGCAGTATCCACGTCGACTACCCCGGCCAATTGGGTTTGATCTGGATCGCGATTGTCATCGACCTCTGGGGCCAAGGGTTTGGGATGTTCCTTTCGCGCGCCTCTGCCCGACACATGCACGCGCAGGGCAGTCGCAGAGAACGCTTTATCCGAAAGTACTTTGAATTTTACCCGGCCATCAATATCGAGCATCGAACCGAGCGCACCAACGCCTTTGTGTCGCTGGTGTTCGGCTATTCGGTGCTCACCATCCTCTACCAGTCCCGGGCACGAGTCGGCCTCAATGCATTTCTGGGCAAAGGCATCCTAGGCCTCATCCAAGCCTTCGCGTTTCAATGGCTTTACTTTGAGATCGACCACCAAGGCGTCCACGTCCACGCCATCCGCCGCCACTGGCTTTCCAGCACCGTTTGGATCACGTGCCACCTGCCCTTCGTGCTCTCGTACGTCCTGGGGGCTGCGACACTGTCGAAACTGGTCCTCGCGCACGACTGCGACAATGCCAATGTCGAGGACTTGGGCGAGGCGTACCAGCCCAGATCGGTCGCGGAAATTGACTCCGGTCTGCGCTGGTACTACTGCGGGGGCATCGCGGCCGCGCTGCTGTCCATGACGCTGCTCTCGTACTGCCACGTGCATAAGACGCTGGAGAACCCGCGGCTGAGGAAAGTCCCGCGCTTGGTGATCCGGTCGTGCATCGCCATTGCGATCTTACTGCTCCCCCTAGCCAAGCACCTCTCATCCATCAGCCTGATCGGCACCACCACGGCGCTGGTCTTGTTGGTCCTGACAATCGACATCTTCGGCATGTCCTGCACGGGCGACCGCTTTTGGACCGGCGGCTGGTGCGACGAGTCCAAGCGCGCCACGCACTACGAGGCCCGCATCCGCTGCAGCAAGCGCAAGAAGCAGGAGATCATCAAGGCCATGCACCGTGGGGAGACCGTCCGGCTCGAAGAGCTGCTGCGCCGCCAGAGCACCAACTCCAGCGCCATGAGCAGCCAGACCGAGCTGGGCGTGAGCGAGAAGTTGGGCGATGAGGAGTGGCAGCACGCGGCGCTGTGAGGACGCTCTGACATTCCAGAACGACTCTTTATCATATATCCTGTCATACTTGCAGACATATTACTATACCCTCCCGGCATTGGATCTATGCATCATATACCAAGGTATGTACCATACTGGGTGTGTGTGTGTGTGTGTATGTATTTAGTGGTATATATATCACTCTCAAGCCTATCCATCCATCCATCCATTCCTCGCTCCCTCCACCCGGATACCCGTCCATTTACACCTCTCTGTCTATCCCCGCATTTGTCCATCTAACCGATGTGTTTCTATCTCTTTACATGGAATTTGATACTGTTACGCAACTGCGAATCAAAGGAATGGCTCACCCAAGAAAATCGAAGCTTTCCCCCCAGAGGAAACAATGTGAATCGGCGCCCGGAGGAGTATAGGCAAGCAAGGGAAAGGGAACACACACACACAGACAGTAGCTATTCGGCAGGGAAAAGGGGGAAAAAAGGGGGAAAGGAAGATAAAGGATGAAGATGGTCATGGATATAGGCGCATGGATCTGATCATGGGCATGGGCATGGTAGCTGGCTAGCTAGCTAGCTAGCTAGCGAGTCAGCGAGCGAACTTGGTGTTGCATTTCCATTTCCGTTTCCTTTTTCAAAGAAAAATGGCAAATACACCCTACATCGAGGGCGAGCACAGGAGTTGTTCTGTACGAGCGAGACAATGGACAATGGCCTGTGTTTGTGTTTATGTTCGTGTCTGGCTCGTGGTTTGAAGCGGCTCGGAAGGGGGAAAAGAAATGGTGTTTTGTGTTTAGTTCTGGTCACATAAATATATTTTCCTTCTTAATGCTGAAGAGAACAAGAAGCACCAAAGGGCGCCAGTACGGCCTCCTTCTATATGCCGCAACTTGGTCGTGGAACAAGCTCCCACCCCACTCCTCTTACTCCTTTTTACCTAGGATAAGGATACGAGTAATCATGGTGCAGCGGCATCGCAACCGTGCCCGGGCTGTGATGTATCGGGTAAGGTACGTCTGTCTGGTGATGCGGCTGGAGTCTGGGCTCCGAGTGCGATGACGGGAGTGGACTTGGGTTTGGTCTCGCAGCTGGCAGGCTTGCTGTTTGCGCTCTCATTCTCGCCTGGGCCAGTGCGACACTGTCAGCCTCCCCCATTGTTACAGGAGACGAGACTTGCTGCTGCATGTGGAGAGGAGGTCTCTGCTGCCCAAGAACGCCTGACGAGCCGTTGCGAGGGTCAAACTGAGTGGGAGAACTTGCCAGAGGAGGAGGCGAGAAAGGTGGATAAGGGGAAGGGGATGAAGCAGGACCAGGATATACCTGGTACATGGCAGCAGGTTGCGAAGGGTGGACGACGTTAGTCTGTGTATTGTTGCGTGTTGCAGTCGCGGTAGCTGAGGAACCTGCAGTTATCGGCGTTGAATCCAACTCGACCGCAAATGCTGGTGCAACTGGTCCACTGGTTGTGACTGTCTCTGCTGTTGATGTCGGATGATGATGTTGGTAACGCGAAGGACCCTCAGGTCGCTGCATCGAGGATAATGAGGCTTCAGCAGAATGTGATGACTTGGCCATGATAGGTGAGGCTGGTAGCTCAACGGCCTCGACGGTGCAACTATACGAAGCAAGCTCGACTGGGTGAGCGCTCGAAGGATGCGACGCATGTGACGTCGATAAGGGCACAGCAGCAGGCCCATTGGATAGTTGCGGTGATCCAGCCACTATAGCGGTACCTGTCTCGTTTCCATAAACAGGTTTCCAGTTGTTAGATGCCACGGCTGGCATTTCATGATATCCATGGGCGGGTAATTGGCTCGAAGTCAGAGCAGGGACGGGGGCTGTGGAAAGGTGTTGATCAGAAACTGGAAGACATGATTCACTCGGGACAGCTCCGGAATACCCAGCGGTGTGGTGCTGGTTGACAGTGTTGTATCTCAGCGGCATTCGACTGGGGTCTGCTTGCGGCATTGCCCAACTACCGTGGGGGACTGAAGGCCCGGCAGAAGAAGTAGGGACAGGCACGTTCTGTTGTATTAGACCAAACTCTCCGAGATTCTGTGCACCAACAGATCCATTCAATTGGGATTGATAATGGGGCTCGGGGTCTGTCGGGCTGTGCCATGACGAAGCATGCTGCTGATGCTGAGGTCTTCGCGCAGGCAGGGGCGGGGGGACAGAAGAATATTGCTGTACTCCGTGCCCTGGATTACTTGTATACGGCTGCGGGATTGGTGGGGACAATATAGGAGACGGCGGCGAGGGAGGCCGGCCTGTGTTTGGAAGCACATACGGAGCCGGACTGGCTCCGGGATATACGTTTGGTGCTGTCTGTGGTGATAACGGCGACACGGGCGCCTGGGGACCAGACCAGTGACCATAAGGCTGGGCATTTTGGGGCCCTGGATAAGAGTACTGGTATGTCGGTTGAGCGACTTGCGCAGGATGGGGTGGTGGAAGAGGACGTTGCTGAACATATGCCGGGTTGAATTGGTTCGACAGACCTTGCGACGGTTTAAAGCCTTGTGAAGACGTTGACGTTGTCGTTGATTGCAGCAATTCTCCCGGGTTTGATGCCAGGTTATACACATCCCTCATGAATAGCATCGATTTCTTAGCAAGAGACGACATGTTGGTGCGTGTTCGCGTTCAGGGACGACTTTTTCTAGCAGTTTCGTCCAGTATTGAACTCCGGTGCGGTCAAGGGTTTTTAGGATATAGCAATACCATGCCACAGCAAATCATGCCCCCAAGTGTGAGGAGGTCCATGTTCGTATTCCCAAATTTGCAAAAAGGGGGGAAACGAGACGAGAGCTGCATTCTAGATCCACTTTTGGCGCCTGATCCTCGGAAATAGTTTGATAGCACAGGCTGAGCAGAGTTGAAGAAGCTGCCAAGGGAAACTGGGCCAATAAAGCATTGGCTTGATCGCTAACGAGGGCTTGTGGCCTTGGTTCGAGACTGGGCCGTTTCTGTTCCACGGCCCCGAATAGTGGCTTGCCGAGAAGTCTCCTGTTTAGCCTTGCCGTCGCAGGGGCAATTCGCAAATTGACCAGTCAGCCCTGGACTATTTTAATAATGTAATGCCACCAAAGCTCCCGATGCAGACATCCGACCGTGTTTGCTTGTGTTACTGTAAACTCTATAGGCACTCTGGTTGGTTGGATTAGGAAAAGTCTCACATGTCCATATTGTTGTGTAGAACATGCGGCTGAGGACTTGCTTGGGAATGGCGGTGGCGTCCTTCTGGATGCGGACTGTTTTGGTTATTCTGTGCTATGGGATCCTCAGGCTGGAAGCAAGATCAAAGAAGGAGAAGCAAGCGTATAAAGGACGCGGGAGTGACGACTCCTCGAGGTTATTGGCTCTACCCAACAGCCGGCGTTTAACGTGCCAAACCAGCACCATTCCTGGACCACCTGTACCTGGCTAACACAAAGGTCAGTTGTTTTTCTGTATCGCGAGGATTGCTCCTTCTGCCCTTGGCTAGGGCTATAGCCGATCGCATGACACTGTCCCGTCGTCAGCATCGAGACAACACCATACCAGATGAAAGAGGGGAGATGGTTTACTTTCTGAATTGTCGCTGATAATCTGTCGGAAGGGTGACAAAACATGCCTCTGTTGCCCTGATGACAGCCTCGCAGGCGGCCAGTATCGCATTCCCGGAATCGGCCTGTAAGCGATATGCTACTAGCAGGAGAAGAAGGCTGCCGTGGAGAAGTTGGATTCCAAAGAAGTACGGCATGAAACTGATGTCCGGGTCACATTCCAGTATCTGGGTAACGCATTCAGAGGCGGCCATTGTGTGGGACATGGAGTCTTTGAACCCTAACGAAGATGTCCAACTACAATATTCAATCAGCCTATACTCCAGAACGGCAAGGGCTAAGGGGTATACATGTGACTGCTCCTTGTGTGTTGAAGGAGAAAACCAAGTAAGTGGACTTACAAATCTGCATCCTCAAAGAGACATACCGGATCCCATTTCGAACCCACCAGGATCTTTAAGACACTGACAATATGGCTCGCGTATCCAGCCACAGTTTTGGCAATGTGCGTCGCCTCAGGTTCTTCTGCTCCCACGGGTGAAGATGGCTTCCATCGGGATTCATTCTCGGCCTCGTTCTCAGCGTATATCTTCGTTGTAACACGATCCAATGTCGCTTGGTAATGATCAAGCTCACGCAAGATTTGACGCTCTTGTGAACTCCATATCGAGGCGCCGGAAAGAACTGGATGGAGGCGTGATCGGTTCCAGTCCAGAAGCGTGCCACAGTGGACCATCAGTGGCAAGAAGAATTCGAAGAGGCCCACCCCTAAACAAGTCTTTGGAGGCCCGTGTGAGCGTCCAGTTCCAGAAGGTAACAACATGCATCGAGGCCCTTCGGCACGAGTACCGTGGCTGTGCGGCTGGGCACCGGATTGCCAGGTAACATCGTCGAGTGGGAGGAGTAAATCTCTGCACTCGGCCTCCAACAGGGCAAGAGGTCTGTTGTAACACAATGCTAAATGTCGGTCCATCAGAAAGAGGAGCCACCACGTCCGGCGACGTTCCTCGCGCTGGACTTCATTGATTAAGTCTCCTTCAGCGTGTTGACTCAGGGAACATTTGCAATTCAAGCTGGTTAATCCATTCTCTGCATCATTTGGCAATATCGCAGACTGTACCTCCTCATTCAATTTCAAGTCCCGCGCGAGGTTGAAAGCAACACTCCACCTGGCTTGCAGTTAGAACAACTGCGACTAGAGAGAAACAGCCGGGCCATTACAAACAGCCGGACGAGTAACTCACCACCTGATGCTTGCGGCCTTCTTTTCACTGCCTGAGATCACCGAGGAAACATGAATAAAAGCAATAATATAGTCCATACCCCAGGACTCTGGGAGAGTATCATTCGGGAGGTCCAAGGCTCGGAGTAGGTCATCATTTCTCCATCCCGAGTCCGAACCGAAGGCGGGCGGTAGTCCTAAGTCTTCCTGTCTCAACAACGGCTCATACCTGGCAGGATTCAAAAGGCGATATGTAAGCAGGCTCAAGTACTTGCAGACTCGATCTTTCTCTTCGGGTCCACTAAACAGACCCAGCGCTTTGTCGCTGAAGGCAGCTACAAACAGCATGCTACCCAGAAGCGCAGGATGAGTTTGACGAGGTTGAGAAGGGTGGAGGACGTCAATTCTGCGTAAAATGAAATTGTGGATGTGGTGGCACGTAGGATGCATACGACTGAGGAATGCACTGGAAAAATAAGTGTCCAACAGGTCGCAGGCAAGACCAGATCCAAAATCCCGATCCAGAAATGGCGACAAGTACTGCAGGACTGGGTATTTGCATTGAGCAAATGCTTGGCTGTTTGGTGTTGGTGCTTCACGGGAATCGGCTATAGAGGGCAACCTGTAACTATAAGGGTCCAAGATGTGAAAGGTCGGAGAGACGTATGTTGAAGGGATGCCAGAGGGATCCTTGCCACTATCAAAATCCACTGCTCGAGTCTGGCCATCCGAAGGCAGAGCAAGATGAAGCATTGCCGTAGTGTTCTCTAGCGAGGGAAGAGGCAACCCCAATCGATGATCCGGAGTCTTAGCAGCCCCCAGAGAGAGATCGTCCTCTTCGTGAGCGGTCGCTCGCCCCCTTGTCTGTTGATTCTTTGGAGACGGTGGTGGAGATGGCGAGGCAGGCGAGGCATTGTCTCGAGGATCATCCGAGACAGACACCGCTCCCGGAGGGTCAGTCCACGAGATGCTGTCATCTCTACGCCTTTTATCATAAACACATTGTTCTTGCAGCTGTGCACACCGGGAACAGGGGATGGTACCCGTGCAGCGAATCTTGGATTTGCGGCATTGATTGCAGGCCCGGAACTTCTCGCTGATGATTCGGTGGAATGGACGCTCTTCTGCATGGTTTAGATGCGTTTTAAGATGGCGACTTAAGCTGTCGTTGCGCGAGAAAGAACGACCGCATTCTGGACAAGGTGCTGAGGCAGGAGTCCTGCGCCGGGCAACCTTACTCGAGCCCATTGTCTAGCATGGAGACTGGGTGATGGCAGCACCGGCCATTCTCGACCACGGGGGCGATGCCGAGAAATGGAAGATGGTGAGCGCACGGCTCGTCGTCCGTCGTTGTAGCAATGGCATTGGAAAATGAGGGTGATGAAGAGGTCTGTGGCTAGCGCATCCTTCTACTATCCAACCCCGCAAGCTACTATTCAACTAGGTTAGTGATAGTCACACGCTGGGGTCGGGGTGGGAGAAACCCTCCGAGACCCTCGATTGGCCTATTTGCTGGACCTGGTGAGCCCTGTCGGTAGGCGAGGATTACATAGGTAAAGGCGCTGCTTGTGGGGAGGTAGCAATTAGAGAGACATGGTTATGCAACCTGCGCTCGAAAGATTATGTGTCTATTTTCCATCTCTTGTCACAGGTGTCCAAGTGCTGGCCTGTCATAGTGCTTGACGCATAAGGTAGAGATAAAATGGCGGGGTCTGCTGGTGAAGGAATGGACAAGCTGTAAGAACGCTATATGGGAGCGTAATGGTGAGAGACAGAGGCATCCGTTAGTTGATGCTAGAAGTGAATTGACATGTTGCAGTGACAATCATAGAAGGGTCGAACCAACTAAGGAGCGACGAATCCGCAGGAAGTTGGAAACAATGGCAGATAGCTGATGAACCAGGATGCTTTTCTCCCTACCTTTCATGCGTCGTCAAGATTAGACGCATTCTATGACCTTTGAGACTGTACGAGGTACTCGGTACTCGGTACCTCATAAAAGACAAAGGCTAGAGTGTGTGAGTGTCCACAAATCTCCAGTAAGATACGGTGGCGCATTGCCACTGATGCGCAGAAACACGACACTTGATACGTTGACACAAAATGACCTACACGCAGGCACCATCAAATCTCTCCCGTGCTATCCCCGTCCTTCCTCCTCTTCCTTGGACCCCTCAATGCCTTACATCCAGACACATTCACTGACAGTCTGCATGACCCTCTTCATGCCGACGGCACTTAGCCGCGGACAGCGAGAAGATGCAGATATCTTTGGAGATGCGATTCACCTTGGTTCCCTCAAGCCTCGAACACGGGACAGCCACGACCATCACGTGCAAACCACTAACAAGGTAAATACTGGCTGATCTGCTCCTTGAATCAGGCCAGGATCCCAAAGGAGCGTCTTGCGATCCCATAAAATGACCACTGCAAACGGAGACCACTCCTCTTCCGGGGCTTTGGACCCCTCCCAGTTCCGCGTGGCCATTGTTGGGGGTGGCATTGGCGGGCTCACCACAGCTCTCAGCCTTGCGACTTACAGTCCTGATCTGCCAGCAAACAACATCACAGTCTATGAGCAAGCTCCAGCATACAGTGAGATTGGCGCCGGTGTTGGTATAGGTGTGTCGGCCGGCCGAGTGCTACAGAAGCTTGGGGTGTGGCCAGCAGCGAATGCCATCTCGGGCTATCGAAACAACGTGCATCGGAGCAATCGTCGTTGGGACACGGACGAGCTAATTGTGGACGCGTTGGCCTTTGACAATGGCGGTGCCGAGGAGGTAAGACAGCTGTGGGTGCATCGTGCCGAGTTTCTGGAGGTCCTGTACAGTGAGATTCAGCGAAGGAACTGTGCTACGCTGAAAACCGATAAGAGGCTTGTCGGGCTTGAGGTATGACACCTGGACCTTGTGCTTGATAATATTTGTGCCTTTGCGGTGTCTGATTCCCAGGGTAGGACAAGGGCTCTACGGTCACTCTTCGCTTTGCTGATGGGACAGAGGAGTCGGCGAATCTGGTCATTGGATGCGACGGCATTCACAGCACTGTCCGCTCTCAGTTCGCCGTGGACAAGCCTGTATACTCTGGCCGGATAGCGTTTAGAGGCACAATACCCCTATCTGCCGTGTCCGATGATTGGCCTTACTCATCCTGGACGCTCTCATGGCTAGCGCCCAACAAGCATTTTCTGGCATTCCCCATGTCACAAAACCGCCTCATAAACGTCGTCGCGTTTGTTTCAAAGCCAGAGAACGAGCTCGACGGGCTCAAGGAGAGCTGGAGAAGTGAAGCACCACGAGAAGCTATCGAGAAGGAATATGCCGGCTGGAACCCGACCGTGCAGAGGATCATCAAGGCCATGCCACCTATCATCAGCCAGTGGAAGATTAACGACCGCGAGATTCTGTCTCAGTGGTGCTACATGGATGGCAAGGTCGTCCTCAGTGGTGACGCAGCACACGCAATGTTACCCATGCAAGGTTCGTTGATCCCCATTGACCAGTCCCTTCTCACCATCTAATCCTGTCATCAGGCTCTGGGGCAGGTCTCTCCATCGAAGATGCCAATATGCTCGGCTTTGCGGTGCGGGATTACCTGAAGAACCCAAGTGTTGGACTCACCACATATGTCAACCTGTACCAGACGGCACGCGTGCCACGGGCGCAGAAAGCCCAGATCACCTCGCGGCAGGCGGCGGAAGTTTACGACATGCACGGCCCGGATTTTGAAGGGAAGACGTTTGAAGAATGTCTCCCGGTAGTGCGGGACAAGGTCAAGGATCGCATGGCTTGGGTGTGGAAGTCGAACTTGGAAGCAGACTGGGCAGCGGCAAAGGAGAGCATTGGCCTTGCATAGGGAAACATGGGTTATTGCGAAGGTCATGGTTTGTAGCATGTAGAGAAAGAAAGTTTTGTTCTCACAGTTGCCCTGTCTAGAGTCAATCAGTAAATGATCATCTTCGCAGCTGTCGAATCTGAACTCACGAACCTCCCAAGCCTCGGCCTTCAGATGCATCTTTTTTCCACTGACCACGTCCAAATCCCACCTTCTCTCTCTTCTCCCACTATTATTTCATGCTCCTTCACTATTCCGGTACGCCCCAGTTCCGATCCAGCATAGCCTCGATCGCCCCATCGCTCGCTCACTCCTCAAAACACCTGCTCCGGCCTTTCCCCGTACGCCCTCCCGACTTCCCCTCGATGCATCTGCCAGGTGCTCAACCCCCGTGGGACCCAAAGGAGGAGACTCCGAGACGCGGCGGAACACGACCGACACGATGGACGGGCGTTATTGGAGAAGCGACCGTTCAAGCCTTTATTCTTAAGAAGCTTGGTATCTCGAAAGCCGGGTCTGGTGTGATCCCCCAAAGTGATACAGTGCCACAGTGCCACAGCGATACAGAGTCGTCTGGAGCCGCCTCCGAACCAAGACGGATTGATACCGAACTTCTACCTGCTCCTCTTCCCTTCCGTACCTAATTCGACAGACAGAAGACGACAATGCTGGCCACCGACTCGATATCTCACCTCCCGGTATGGGGGTGGGTTGCCATCACCGCGGCCCTCCTCTGTGCGTGGGCAGCCAGTTTCCGCTACCAAAAGGGCCTCAACAAGTACAAAGGACCGTTCATCGCATCCTTCACCAACTTCTGGCGGCTGTGGCAGTGGGTGTGGTACACCGACAGATGTGCCTACCCCAGTGTGGTCAAGTATGGAAAAATCATCCGGGTTGGGCCCAATACGTTGTTATTCAATGATCCCGATGCCATCAAGGACATCTACATGACCCATTTCTCCAAGGTAAGAGACGCGATGCCTTGATCAAGACGCCTCCCATCCTCGGCTTCATTCGGTGTCAGCAGTCTGTCTAACGCAGCAACTCCTCAGTCCGACTTCTACAAGGTTGGTCAGGGAGTCTCGCGGGGAGTGGCCGTACCCAACATCTTCTCCACCACAGATCGCATCTACCATGGTAAGCTGCGGCGATCGGTGGCCAACGCCTTCGCTTTGAGCACACTGGTCAACTATGAGCCGTATGTGACGGACACAGTCACCACATTCCTGACTCAGCTGGACCAGAGATTCGCGGGTCGACCTGGACCGGACGGCATTTGCGACATGTCTGAATGGACAAAGTTCTTCGCCCTGGATGTGGTCAGCGCGTTGACAATGGGCAAAAGCTATGGCCTATTGGAGGCTGGGTATGATCACATTGGCATCATCGAGGCCCGAACGACCTTCTTGCGCTACTTCACCATTGTGAGTTTCCCCCGTGGTAGGAGCGAGGACACATATAATCTAACGCTTCTCTTCCAGGTCAACAATGTGACTTGGCTCGACCGCGTGCTAAAGAAGAACCCGGTTCTCCTGTGGCTCGGCCGAATGGGCCTCTGGAACAGCGTGACGGCGACGGTGCCCATCGCACAGCGACAACTCGACCAGAAGAAGCGCGACTTCAAGGGCGTCAACGAGAACGAGAAGACGCGGGTGGATCTGCTCACCAAGTTCCTCCAGGCCAAGGTCGACAACCCGGACATTGTCGACGACCGCGCCGTCTTGGGACTGACGCTCTCCATGGTCAACGCCGGCAGCGGCACAGTCGCCACCACGCTGGCCGCGACATTTTACTTCCTGCTCAAGTACCCACACGTGCTGAAGGAGCTCGTGGCCGAGATCGACTCACACTTCCCGCCGCCGAGCGCCACTAGGAACAGTGGCAAGGGCACGGGCCCGATCAACTTTGCCGAGTACGTG